TTAAGTTAAATCTTGTTTCATAGTTTTTTTTTTTCTGATAATCTTGTTCCAAAGTTTCTCCAGGGGAAACTCAAACTACGAGATGGTCTGTGAATTATTATTTCATACAAGGAAAAATTATTATTTTAAGTAAAATAAGAATGTTTACATTTAGAAAACTAGATAGCACACTTGATAAATTGAGAAAATCATACTGTTTTTTTTTGTCAACATATTGATAAATTTAGAAAACCATACTGTTTTAAAAAAAAAACCATACTGTTTTTTTGTCAACATACCCTTGATAAATTTAGAAAATCATACTGTTTTTTTTTTGTCAACATGCTAAAAGAATCATATGGTTTTAAGTCGTATAACTTCTATTTAACTGTTGTTTTAAAATTTCGCATGACAAAATTTACACGACTCAAACTGAACAGCTTCTTTGTTTACCTGAGAGCATGTTGTTTTGGTAAAGCACTACCACAAATAATTTTAGTGGGGCTTAAAGATCTAACTTAACTAAAGTCATCATTCTCACATCTTTTTATCCTGGTCGGATCGGATCGGATTGGATCAGAGTTGGCTACAACGCAGCTCGGCCACCGGTTTTGGGCATTTTCTTGGATGTAGCTGCAAAAAGAAACATAGGATTTGGTCTTAGAGATCGATCCTTATTTATTCGTAGTAGCCAAGAAAGTATTTTAGACGAACGAGAAAGCATATAACAATACCATCTTCAACGTCCTTGAGCTGATAAGAGTGTGGAGCTATCTCAATTATCCACTCAGGTTTTAACTCTGTTACCTGCACATTTCCGAGGTTAACGAATGGGTGAAAGCGGAAGAAGAATAACCCGAAACAATTCAAAAACAAAGATCCCGATTTGTACCTGTCGCATGCATTCCTTAGAGGTAAGGACTAGTTGATGATATACAACCCATCTCGGCAATAGCAAAAATGATACATTTTCATCACTATTTCCAACATTTTAAGATTTCACAGAATTTGTATGTTTCTACAGATGAGAGAACTAACTAAACCTGAGATAAGCCAGATGCGGGATGTATGTGCACCGTTTGGGGATGCTTCACTGTTCGATATGATCCATTCTTCTGTAGCAATCGATATAATCTCATCGGAGCATTTGTATTTGTCGGAAACAACAATCATCTTCGACAACATTGGATCAAGGGGAAACTCTGCCATCCTTCTACCAGCTTTAGTCAATTCCCCGAGCTGATTGAGAGCACCGAGAGCAAAGAGCAACTCTAAGGCCTTTATAAGAGCTTCAGAAGGCGGAGGGTTATGAATACCAAGACTCTTCAATGCGAGCACCACACTAGCGAGATTCGTCCAGGCAGTACTGTATTTTCCTCCAAGTCATTGTAGTAATTATACAAGTATCATACAAGTAAATGCCACGCAGGACGATAAAATTGTGTCCATAAGGAGCAAGCTTTTAACATAGAACAAGTGACATGAAATAAAGAATCACCTGATGATCTTTCACAGCTTGTAGAAGTTGATCACGATATGAATAAATTGGCAGATATTTTCTCTCCTCCTGATTCATTAGCAAATAGCATCAAAACATGTCAGAAAATCTTTCAACTTCTGCAAGGAAAAACTTCCAACATGGAAACACACAATAATTCAGATGATTTTTTGGCCATTGTTAAATTTGATCAAAGAGGTAAGTGGAGAAAAGTGGAAATGCTTGCACCTGAAGCATATCGAGAACCGATTTCCCAGTAAAATCTTGAGATGGTTTAGCATGCATCTCGTCTTCATACTGTAATGACAAAAACGAGTAGTCAGCTAAAATTCGGCATATAAAAAGACATACCTTACATCTAATAGGGTATCATAGTTAATACATTATCACCAGCCAACACGGATGCTTTTATGAAGTCTATTTGGTCCTCAAATACAAACCTGCAGATATACTCTTAGACTCACAGTCGAAAAGATAGCTAGGATAATCAGTCAAATGTAAAATTGAACGTAACAGAATAAGAGTAGGAGAAAAAATGTAACAAATCTTACCCATAATTGTCCGAGAACGGCTTATTCTTTGCACCAAATTTTAATCTTGCCTTCCCTGCATAACAATGTCATAAAGTAAGCGTCACAAACAATGTCAATGATACATAGCATGAATTGAAAACATGACTGGTCGATGACAGAAGTGTTAAAGAGAATACTACCAATCTGATGGTCCTCCCAAGCTTCTTGCTCTGCAAAGGGGTTCATTTTCTCCGTCGAATCCATGTCCCTAATCAAATAAGATAGTCCAAAACATCCATAAGAGTGAACTTTCGTCAACTGTAACCAAAGTACAATGTGATGGTTTCCAAGTCATGCACTCTTTCTCAACTCACCTGTAACGTTGTACAGAAACACCAAATCTATTATCTTGATCAACACCCCCTTCTTGATCATATGCATCTGGCATTCTATACTGAACTCCAAAGAGGTAGGAGACTAGAGATGTAAAAATAATTCAGAGGAAGAAAAACTAAATTTATTAACAACACTTGAAGGCTATATAGTCAAAAACCTAAGAAAGGTCCAGCAAAGTGCAATTACCTCTCCTACATTATCTGCTTCTTGTGTACGTACTTTTATTCACGAGCTCGTATATTTCTTTCTTGTATCTGTTAAGGTGTCAAATCGACCCGTGCTCAATTAGCCAATTACAGATCGTCACAAATGTGAATAAGACCATATAGCATTCAGATTGTAACAAAAAAAAAAAAACGCCGAAAAGCAAGCCACAACTGTGAATTTTTATAATCACCAAAGCAAGCAAGCTGCATCTTCGTGCGAGAAAGATGTGTATTAATTACCTAAAATCATGAATTTCTGTTTCAGTGAGCTTTTCATCTCCATTGTTCATCTTCTAATTCATCCCTAGGAAGAAAAGAGGAGTAAGGAGAGGTCAGATAAGGGTTTACAGTAAAACAGATACAGAAATTTCTTCGGTGAAAAGGAACTTTACTTTAGTTCTTCCAGTTTCTTCTGTTCCCTTTTCTTCAAATATTCTTGCCGCGATAATTTCCTGAATCAAACCCAGCCAAACATAATCAATAACTATGAATGAGTAAACAGCCATCAAGAAATATTTTCAAAACAATAGGAACACCGTCAAGAATTGTTAATGAGAAGACACTCCTCCGCGTCAAGAGTTCTTAATTAGAAATCAACTTCAGGAATAACATTTGACACACAAGAACTTTACTGATGATTGTTTTGTCAATCACTCTGTTACTGTATTTCTATATGGATGCATTTGTTCATCTCTCTTAAAAAGGTTACAGGGAAGAAAAGGTTAGGAAGATAAAACACCATAAGTACCTTAAGGATTCCATATCACCCTTCTCTACTGCAATGTCTCTTCGAACGACCTCTTCTGTTTTGCAATTTAAGAAAATTTAAATGAGACCAGCAGAAGAATCAAAATTTTGTATACAACCTCATTATTTAACACAAAGATGCTTATGCATGAACTCAGTAGGCCGTACCTTGCTCTTTCTTTGACATATTTGGCTCTGTAAGCTGCTCAATAAAGAAAAGAAAAGGACATGTCACTAACAAAAAGATCGGATAGCAAATAGTACATTGATTAGTGAATCCTTCCATACTTTCAATCTTTTCTTTGACTAGAGAAAGAATCTAAGCATGCAGGAGTCTCTGGAATATTAAGTGTATAGATTTGGCAGTTCAGTTCTCAAACTTAAATTTAGATGAGAAAACTAGGTCGTCTTGTATACGTTTTTCTACAAAACTAAGCAACTGGTTGGCTAAAATAAGGTGCCAAGCAGAGATTTGAAAATAAAAAACAGAGAAATACTAAAACCAGGATCTTTTTGGTGCACAAAACAGAGAATACGTACCTTTTTTGTCCGTGCAGCATCGCGTTCTCTTAGGTGCTGCTCTAGTTCTTCTTTTCCCCTCTGGTCACGTAATCTATCCTCTTCAGACTGTGCCAGATATACATGATTGAAGCAGATAGTTAGTCAGCAAATCAATAATAAAAACAGGTATTAACCACACATAACTAAACACTAAGAAACAAGACAAACTTTACGAAGGATCCAAAACATAGCTGAAATGAAAACTCCCTAAGTGTAGCCACTAGCTTGATGTACCTCAGTGCCATCATCCTCGCCTTCAGAAACCTTTCTCCTAACATTCCTTTTGTACTCTCTAACAATCACCACCTGCATTGTTGTTTAGTCAGAAAGAGTATCACATCATTAGAAGAGATATGAAGCTATATCTTACCAAAAAGAAAGAAAAAAAATGGAAGTCTGTCATAGAAAACAATATGCCTCATCGTCGTCGTCTTCTGATTCCCCAATTTTCTTCCTAAACCTTTTTTGTCTTTTATCTGACTTTCTAGATTCCGAAGCAGATTGCTTCTCCATATTGCCTTCATCTTCATCAAGATCAGCCTCTAAAAGGGAAAAGGTGTTTTGCTTCCTCAATAGCATCGCTGCCTCTGCTTCCTGTTATAAAATGTGTTTATGTCATACATTCTTCACCTGTAGCAAGAATCTAAAATAGTTACACTCAGGAAAAGCTTT